CATCTGGATTTGTCTTTATTGCATATCTGTAATTCTTTACTGTCTAGGAGTGCTTTTTAAAATGCTAAGCACTTCTTAAAACTTAGTTTTGCCTTTATTAGAGGAAATACAGCAGTTTCTGCTTGCCTGCCCATCTAAAACTTAAGCCGCACCATTATTATGGTATATACGGTACTTCCTGCTCACTCAGCTTGGCAGAGCTGCTAGGCTGCCTCTGAGAGACTTGTGCAGTATCCCATCTCTAGGCACACAGCTGGTCCATGCCACCATTAAGCAAGCTACAGCAGTCTGCTCACAAACTCCACTCTAATGATCTGTCTCCTGAAAGAGCCAGAGGTCGCACTGGCAGCATAGCCCGGAACGCCTGCGTTTCAAAACAACTCAGCTTTTTTTCCTGCTACAGCTGAATCAGGAAAATCTCTCTTAAAGGAGCTGTGGAAACCTTCCAGCAAACAGCAAGAAACTGTCTTATACTATGTTTTTTTCCCCCTTTTTTGGTCTAGAATTCCTTTTCAAGCCCTCAGGTGGATTTAGTTAGCCATGGGGGCGCCAATCTGTTGGTGAGGGGTGCCATTCGTTCCTCCCGGTTGCCGAGAACCAAAGTAACTACACAGAAACTGTATTAATTAAATCACTGCTTGGCTTATGCTCTAACTTCTTTTTGGCTGACTCTTACATATTAATTTAACCCACCTCCATTAATCTGTATGTCACCATGAGGTCGTGGCCTACCAGCAAAGTTTCAGCCCGTCTCTCTCTTGTAGCAGATCCATGGTGTCTCATCTTCACCTTTCTTCTCCCAGCATTCAGTCCAGTTTTTCCCGCCCACCTAAGTTCTGCCCTATCAACAGGCCAAGGCAGTTTCTTTATTCGTTAATGGTAATAACAACACACAGAGGGGACTCCCACATCAACTAGTGGTCTTCTATGTGTTAATTTGCTGTTCATATGATCTCTTAAATGAGATGCTTGTCACCCTTAAAAAAAAACAAAACACTTTTTTTGTTGAAATTTTTTCTTTGTATTGTTGAATTTGAACACCGTCCCCCAACATTGCTGGATATTGAACCTAGAGCCATATTGGTTCTCTCAAGCACTCTATTACTCAACTATACTCCTATCCCTATTATTGAGCTATATATTTGGTGCCTGTCCTGGAACTAGCTTTTGTAGACCAGGCTGGCCTCGAACTCACAGAGATCCTCCTGCCTCTGCCTTCTGAGTGCTGGGATTAAAGGTGTGCGCTCCCACTGCCCAGTGGCTTCTTACGTTCTTGATGAGTCATTTGTTACATGTGTACTTTGTAAATATATTTTCCAAATCTATATCTTGTTCTTCCCCTTTAAGTGTTTAAATCTAAAGTTACAAAGGTATTTTAACTGTCACTAGTGCTTGTGTGTGTATTAGTAAATAAGAGTGTTTGCCAAACACGTGCCAGGCCCTGGATTCAATTCCCAATCCACAAAAATAAGCCACAGGAAATCCATTAACCATTCAGAACCCATCAATAACAAACACCGTTATGGATAGTACAGTTGTTGACCCTAAGTGTCTTAAGTATTACTTAATAATTCTTGTATTAGGGCTGATTTTACACAGTACAGCATAAATTGATCTAAGGAAACTGAAAATTACTTTTGAACTTTTCTATCTTAACATGCTGGAAAATTTTAGGACAAAATCTTTGGTGGAAAAAAAATGACACTTATTTGATGTTTGTCTTTTTTGTTGTTGTTACATTTCAGTTCATTTTGTATTTTTTTGTTTGTGTGCATGCACATGTGCTGTGATATGAATGTTGAGGTCAGAGGAAAATTTGCAGGAGTCAGTTCTCACCTTCCATTATATGGGGCCCCAGGGTTGAACTCAGGTTACTTACTAGGCTTGACAACAGGCACCTTTACTTATTGAGACATCTTACTAACCCCAGTGTTTGGTTTTTATAGGATCCCTTGAACACACATTCATAGTGCTAACAGGCTGTGCTAAGTGTCCTAGTAAATGAAGAGATTTGACCACTCTGCCTATGTAAATTCTGTACCTGTGTATGTATGTATTATAGATTTGTGGTTCCACTTCTGAGTTACAGAAATAAAATCATACTTAATTTTCCTCAGCAGGGCTTAAGATTAGTTTTTTTTTAATTACTTTTTTTTTTTTAAATTTTATTTTAGAGGCAGGGTTTCTCTGTGTAGCTTTGGAGCCTGTCCTGGAACTTGCTCTGTAGACCATGCCTCGAACTCACAGATCTGCCTGCTTTTGCCTCCTGAGTGCTGGGATTACAGGTGTGCACCACCACCGCCCAGAAAGATGAGGGTTGTTTGTTTGTTATTTGAGATTTATTTATTTTATGTGAGTGTTTTGCCTGCTTGTATGACTGGGCACCACATGAATTCTTGGTACCTGAGGAGGTTAGAAACGGGGTCAAAACCTCTGGAACTGGAGTTACCATAGGGTACTAGGAACTTGAACCCAGGTCCTCTGGAAGAGCAGTATGTGCTCTTAATGATGAGCATCTCTCCGGCCCCTAAGATTAACTTTTAAAAAATTCTTTCTAAAATTTATTTTACTATTACTCTCATATAAGAGTACAACAGGACTGGGCAGTGGTGGTGCATGTCTTTAATCCCAGCATTTGGGAGGCAGAGGTAGGTGGATCTCTGTGAGTTCAAGGCCAGCCTGGTCTGCAAGAGTAGTTCCAGTACAGGCACCAAAGCTACAGAGAAACCCTGTCTCGAGAAACAAAACAAACAAACAAAAAAAGTACAACACGAGATTAGATAATCTGGATTTTGGAATTATGGTGTATTTGAATATTGTGGGTGTTTCTCCTTTTAAAAATTGGATTTAGACTAAAGCACAAATTAGCTGTGGAAACAATGTTATAATAATTTGTGTTGTAATAAATAGTGTTTTTTGCTTGTTACTCATCATTCGATGCATTGCAAATATTTGGTAGAATTACATCAATGGGCTATTTTTGCTTTTATGGAAATTAGTTTAACAAAGTGGTTATCTCCTTTCTATACACATTTTCAGGGTGGACATATAATTTCCCCCAAATGACTTTGAGGTAAAATATGCCTTTATAAAGTGAAAGCATAATGTATTTATTTGTGTTTTTTTCTTATTAATTTAGGGGAAATTCTTCTAAGATTATAAAGATTTTTGGATTGGAAAAATGAAAACACCAGTCCTTCAAATAGATGTCTACCCTCCCTCATTCCTCTTAGTGACAGTCTAAGAGTAGGTCTGAAATATTCTAGGCCCTGGTTATATTGTGGAAAACACATGAGGAGACCCGGAAAAGCTCCTAAGTGCAGACAGTGTTGCCAGTTGCTGGCAGGGTCATGCTCATTTCTTGGACAACGAAAGATTTAGCTGTGGCAGCCTGTCTGCTGAGTGGAGTCTGTAAGGAAGACTGATAGACTAGACCATTTTGAGTTGTCCCAGTTGGTGTGAGTTTACTTGTCATTGCCAAGACTATTAAACTTCAGCATGCTATTATACTAAATGTTCCGAAGATCTTGAATGGGACATAGGTTCCATTCATACTGCTTTTGAAAATTTCCTACTGAAATAGTAGTTTCCTATTTGAAGTTTTAGTTTAAAAAAATAAAACAGAACCCTCAGTGGAATTGTTTTTAAAATTTCAGACCCATGAGTTTCAGGCCAGTCCTCTAGAGTCCACAGTAAAACCTGTCCCAACAAACAGGAAAACAAGCTCTAAATAAATATGCATATTTTAAAATAGGTTAAAAAATGTTAGTCTTCAACTTTCATTTTTCCCCCACCTTTCATTTTTATATATGTCCCTTGAAGCAATAGGGTCCTTAAGAGGACTGTATTAGTGTGGTTGAAATCTGCCTCTCAGACCAGTACAATCAGATACAATACCCTTACAAATCCTAGTGTTATAAATAGGAGTTGGAGTGAAATTGAAACTGGTTGTTAAGGTTTTGCACCTTGGAATGGTAACGCACACCTTTAATCTCAGTGCTGGGAAAGCAGAGACACACGAGCTCTGAATTCAAGACTAGCCTAGCCTACATTAGGAGCACCAAGTCAGCCAGAACTGCATAGTGAGACCCTGCCTCAAAAATTCAGAGATTTTGTAGTAAGAGGACCAGCAAGATAGCTCAGCAGGAATAAGGAAAATGTGGTATATTTACACAATGGAGTACTACACAGCAGAAAAAAATAATGACAGCTTGAATTTTGCAGGAAAATGGATGGAGCTAGAAAACATTATTTTGAGTGAGGTAACCCAGACACAGAAAGAAAATTATCACATATACTCACTCATAGGTGGTTTTTAAGCATAAAGCAAAGAAAGCCAGTCTACAAACCACAATCCCAGAGAACTTAGACAACAATGAGGACACTAAGAGAGATTTATATAGATATTAGCTACATGAGAAGTAGAAAGTAGAAAAAGACGAGATCTTCTGAGTAAATTGGGAGCCTGGGGACCTTGGGGAGGATTGAAGGGGGGAGGGGAGCAAAAAAAAAAAAAAGGTTAGCTCAGCAGGTAGAGGAGTTTGCTGCCAAACCTGGTAACCTGAGTTCAGTGCCCAGGAACCATGTGGTAGAAGGAGAGGACCAGTGGCTGCAGGTTGCCCTCCAGTCACCACCCTCCACTTGCATGGTGGTGCTGAAAGGGTGTGTGTGTGGGGGTGAGGTTCCCTCCATAGTGTATAAATAAAAATGCAGTAAGAGAGGAGAAAGTGAAACTGGAAGAAAAATTGTACATCTCAGTGTTGTTTTCACCAGTTCTTGGAGTTTTTTTTTTTATTTTAATACTGTTCATTAAAACTTTAAGTTAAATGTGGACATTTTAAACTAATTTCTTTATTTTCCATTGAACTACATGTTCTTTGGTCAGTAACCGTTGACTTTACTTTGAAGGTAAATAACTTTACCTATGAAATACTTTGTGCTGATTTCACACATTTATTTTAGCAAGTTTTTTCTTAAATAAGGTTTTTTTTTTTTTAAAGCAGATTTATGAAAATATGCCTCGGTTTGATACTGTCTTGGAATTCATGAGATGGAAGCATAGGTCAAAGCTGTTTGGAGAAAATTGGAACTACGGTTTTATCTAACCATATCCCTGAGGTAAGGAAAATAAAATCAAGTCATAGAAAATGCTTTCTTTATTATTGAAAATAATCTTTCTGTGTCACTGCTGCAGCTTCATTGAGCGTCACACCAGAACTTTGTGTTAGCTGCTCACTTTCTTGAATCGCCTTTCTTATGAATTAATAATTTTAATGTATTTTCATCTTAGAAATAAATGTTCGCGGGGCTGGAGAGATGGCTCAGAGGTTAAGAGCACTGACTGCTCTTCCTGAGTTCAATTCCCAGCAACCACACGGTGGCTCACAGTCATCTATAATGAGATCTGGTGCCCTCTTCTGGCAAGCATACATGGAAGGAATGTTGTATACATAATAAATAAATAAATCTTTAAAAGAAAGAAAGAAATGTTCGCTCCTTCAAGAATGCCCTGAGATCCACTGACATTTGCATTAGTTCGTTTCCCTCAGTGCCTGAGATATCTGAGGTAATTAACTTACTGTAGCACGAATTTTAATAATAAAAACTCGGAGTCAGATATTAGGGGGTGAGAGCTGAGAGATCAGAGAAACAGTGTAGCTAGTCACTAGAGAAAGAGACCTTTTACCTCTACCGAATCTTCAGACTGAAGGGGCTATCGTGAATCTTCAGACTGCATCCTGAGACTCAGAGTGCCGTTGAGCTCTTGTCCCCTCCTGCTTTATATTCCTCTCTCCGCCCAGCTACATCTTTTCCTGTCTCTACCTCCTTACTGCTTGGATTAGGGACATGTGACCCCTCTGTACTGGAATTAAAGATGTGAGCTAACACCTCAAGGCTCTGTCAATCTAGTGTAGCCCAAGCTGGCCTTGAACTCACAGAGTGCTGGGATTAAAGGTGTGTCCTATCACTGCCTGGCTTCTGTGGCTAACTAGTGCCTTAGCTCTGTACACTGATCTTCAGACAAGCTTTCTTTGTTAGATCACAAACAAAATATCAGTACAATTTACAAAAAGGAAAGATTTATTTTGGCTTTGTTCTGGATTCTAGTTCAATATCAAGGTACCCTGTTGCCTTGGACCATGTGACAGAGTAGACTGCTGCCCTCCTAATCCTGAGATACCAAAGGGATTCCAGTGTCCTCTTCAGTGACTGGCTTCCTAGGAGAGTCACCATCTCACAGTTGTGCCATCCTGTGACTGAGGCCTTCACTCCTGTACCTGCAGGGGATCCTCAACCACACGCAGTTTCCAGTGACATTTCAGCTCCTAACTTTATTTAATGACTTCTTTGTGCAGCACTTTATAGTTGCAACTGCTGGTAAGGTAATTTTTGATATAGGTGACACAAAAACCATTTCTTTTATTTTGAAGAGATTACATGAGTCGACACAAAATTTTAAACATATACCAAAGTCTTTCACTATCCTCAATTCAACTGTTCTTCTTTCTACCTTCCATCTTAGTGACCTATATTTCATAGTTAATTTATTGGTCTTTTTATGTATTGTCTGCCATCTTGACTTAATAGCTTTCTGATATCTTTCTATGAAATCATGCAGTGGCTAGGCATGGAGGCACACACCTGTAATCTTGACCACTTTAGGTCTGAAGCTGGAGGATAGTGATTATTATGGCAAGCCTGAACAACTAAAAATAATGGGGGTAGCTAGGTGGAAAAACATTTTCTAGCATGTGAATGGCCGTGGATTCAGTCTCTGTTACCAAAGCTAAAGAGGTGAGGAATAAAGAGAGATAAAGAAACCAGGCAATATTCTTTTTTAAAAAATATGTATTTATTTATTATGTATTCTATGTTCTGTCTGTGTGTATGCCTGAAGGTCAGAAGAGGGCACCAGACCTCATTACAGATGGTTGAGCCACCATGTGGTGGCTGGGAATTGAACTCACGACCTTTGGAAGAGCAGACAATTCTCTTAACCACTGAGCCATCTCTCCAGCCCCAGGCAATATTCTTGATTTTTCTTTTTCTTTTTTCCTTAAAAGGAAAAAAAAAGATTTTATTTGTGATATTTTTATTTGTATGTATGTCTTTATGGAAGTATGTTTAAACCTGTGTGTGAGTGCCCACAGAGGGCAGAAGTTGGTGTTAGATACTCAGGAACTGATTGTGAGTCACTTGGTGTGTGTGCTGGGAACTGACCTTAGGTCCTTTGGAAGAGAAGCAAGCACTCTTAATCACTAAGCCATCACTGCAGTCTACTTCTTGATTTTCAAATTTATTTTCAAAAAGGTATGCATAATGAGAGTACCTGCTTACAAAGCATTAGGATTAAGTGAAATATAAAGAATAATTCTTTCATTAAACTGATTTATTTAATTGTGTGGTGGAGGGTTGATACTTGCTATATTGTGTATGGAGGTCAGAGGACATCTTGGGCCAATCAGTTTATCTTCTTATACCATGTTCGTTCCAGGTATGGACTCAGGTCCTCATGCTTGTCAAGTGCCTTTGTTTACCACCCAGTGTCACTGACCCAATAGAGCTCCTTTTAAAAGGGCTTTCTTTGGGTACAGGGAGCAGTGCTAGGCATTGAGTACAGGGCCTTGGACATGCTAAGCAATTACTCTACTGAGCTACATTCTCAGCAGTTAGACTTCTTAAATGTTGACTTTAATATTATTTTTAATATTATTGAATGTTGCTAATTATTATTATTCATTCTTAATATTATTTACTTGTGACTTTATTTTTACAAGGTGTAACATATATGTGTGTTTTGTGTGTTTCATATGTCTTCAAAGAATTAGCATTTGGTTTTATAGATGAACTCTACTTTTTTGTTATGTTTAATAAAATTTAGCATGCTGACTTCTTTTGATAACCATTCCTGTCTTTTCATTCAATGTGTATGTATGTGTGTGTATATGTATATACACATACATAGTCCTTGGTCATGGTGAGGCAAAACCTTGTGGTAGTGGTAGTGGGAGGCTCTTCATGGTGGATAGAAAGCAGAGTGAGGCAGGGTCTGGGGGTTAAATATAATTTTCACCCCACCCTTCTGCTTCCAGAGCCTCCCAACAGCAGTACCCACATGTGCCTGTGATACATGAACCAGTGGTGCACATCTCATGTTCAAACTATAACTTGTGGCCAGGCAGTGGTGGCGCACGCCTTTAATCCCAGCACTCGGGAGGCAGAGGCAGGCGGATCTCTGTGAGTTCGAGACCAGCCTGGTCTACACAGCTAGTTCCAGGACAGGCTCCAAAACCACAGAGAAACCCTGTCTCAAAAAAAAAAAAAAAAAAAAAAACACACAAAACTATAACTTCTGTTATTTCTAGGATTTTGAAGTTATAAGTGTACACATTGATCATCCCTCGGCCTAATTTAGAGCTTTCGGTTACTCACAGTGCTACTCACTATCTGTTCCAGTGATTTGCCGGCCTCTAAGTGTGACCATCAACACCTGGCTCTTTCATTGTTTTTTTTTTTTTAGGAGTTTAGCAGGGTACAGCAGTACATACTTGTCATGCCAGCAGTTGGGAGGTTTAGGAGTTCAAGGCCAGCCTCAATTATGTAGCCAGTTAAAAGTGAACATACAGTTTTTATATACACACCATCTTTGAACCTGTTGCTGTATCTTTTTACTGGAAGATTGTTAAGTTTAGATAGTTCCTCGGCATTCCTCCCATTATATTATGTTAACTCCAAAGATTTGAGAAGAAAGACCATGGGCTTAAATCATCATGATCAAATTAATTAAAGCAACTTTTTTATTTGTAAACACAGGCTGCCTCCTTTAAGGAAGGATTCAAGAGGTCAGCATGGGATATGAGAAAGACAAGCTCAGGGGTGGGGGTTTCCAAATAGGGGATTTGGTGGGCAAAATGGGTGGGGCTAAAGAAACAGAACATATGCATAACAAGTTAGTAATAATGACCTCCTGAAACAAAGACATAAAACTGCAAAATAGTTATAACAGCCTTTTGAAATAAAGGCATGGTTGCTGTTCCCTAAAGCATGCAATACAGAACCATTTGTAGGTAAGGTTACAGGTAGAGCATAGCCTAATCCTTGAGAAACAGGTTTAACATTAACCGATGAACCTAATTTGTTTTTACTATAAGATGATTTTTAAGCCTAAAGTGGATGCAGGCTGGTCAGTCAGTAACATGGTTTGTACCAAAGGAGTGTGTGTGTGTGTGGTATTTATGTGTTTATGTATTCACAGTTATTAACTTGGTAGATGACTGTGGCACTGTTAATATAAAATCCAGGCAATACTTGCTATAAGCAGTATTGTTAGTTTGGGAAAGTTATATTTACATGTACTTAAGATTACTTAAGATCTTTTATTTTTATCTGAAAACTGAGTAGATAGCCGTGAAAACAGTAGAAATTAATTCCCACTAGATCAGAGCTGGAAGTGAGCAGATTTTTTTATCTTTTTGTTGTTGTTGTTTGTTTTGTCTTTGTTTTTGTTTTTTGAGACAGGGTTTCTCAGTCACTTTTTGAGACTATCCTGGAACTTAACTTTGAAAACCAGGTTGGCCTCAAACTCATGGAGATCCGCCTGCCTCTGCCTCCCTAGTGCCGGGATTAAAGGCGTGCGCCACCACCGCCCAGTTATTGTTTTTCATGCCTTCTTTGGAGAAAAGTCTGGTTTGTATATAAAATAAAGAGATTGGCATAGCATTTAAGTTTTGTCTGCCCTAATCAGTTATTTCTTAACTTAGTAAATACTTACTTGTTATCGACTGTGTGCCAAACAAGGTTTTAGGTGTCTGTCACACGTGTGGTGTGACTACAGCAAACATGTCTACCCTCTGCAGCAGTCAACAACACAAAGAACAAAGACTCAGGCCTGATGGCCTACACACACACGTGTTTCATAGCAAAATAGGAGTTGAGGCAGGAGGATCACAAGTTGAAGGACCGTCTAAAATACATAGTAAGACCCTGTCTAGAAAAATTAAACGAAAACAGTAAATGAAACTGGGTACAGTGGTTTATCACTGTACCTTAGCACTTGGGAGAATGAGGCAGAAGGATCTCTATGAGTTTGAAACCAGCCTGGCCTTCTTAAGTGAGTT